GTACGACATCCGTATACAACCCCTTACATACAAACCTCCGTACGACATCCGTATAGAACCCCTTACATACACACCTCCACACCACATCCATAGACAGCCCCTTACATACACACCTCCACACAACATCCGTATACAGCCCCTTACATACACACCTCCACACCACATCCATAGACAGCCCCTTACATACACACCTCCACACAACATCCGTATACAGCCCCTTACATACACACCTCCACACCACATCCATAGACAGCCCCTTACATACACACCTCAAAACAACATCCGTATACAGGCCCTTACATACACACCTCCGTACAACATCCGTATACAACCCCTTATATACACACCTCCGTACAACATCCGTATACAACCCCTTACATACAAACCTCTGTACGACATCCGTATACAACCCCTTACATACACACCTCCGTACAATATCCGTATACAACCCCTTACATACACACCTCCACACAACATCCGTATACAACCCCTGACATACACACCTCCACACAACATCCATAGACAGCCCCTTACATACACACCTCCACACAACATCCGTATACAGGCCCTTACATACACACCTCCGTACAACATCCGTATACAACCCCTTACATACACACCTCCGTACAACATCCGTATACAACCCCTTACATACACACCTCCGTACGACATCCATATACAACCCCTGACATACAAACCTCCGTACGACAGGTGGATCTGCTCCGGCTGTGGGGAGGTTGTCTTATGGTCCAGGATCCCCTGTGTGGCGCGGATGAGCGCTGCAAACACAAACCCGGTGATGACACAACTCCACCTCATGTTGCTTTTTCCAATTCCGCTGCCAACTAACTCTGTCTCACCACGGCTCAATAACTATCTATAACTGGTGAGGTCACCTGCCCCGAGATAAAATAAACCACGTGACCTATAGCATGTCAATAACATGTAAATAGCAATTGATAATGACGACCCCAGGCTGCAGCATTAAAAGCATAGACTCGAGTACCCGGATGCAGCACCTCACTGTGAACGTCTGAGTGATAATGTGCTGAACTACTTTATGTGAACAAGCACCTTGGCGTGGGACCTCTCTGTATGACAATCCCAATAGGTTGTTGTATCTGTATTGTTATAGGGCAGTGTATTTTGTTGTTTAACAGTGATTGTAACTGTGTTACATTGTTTCTGTTGAGATTCGGTAGACGTTCGTTGCGTTGTGTTTGGGCATTGATCAGCCGCCAGGAAGTTACTAAATGTAGATGCTGGTGTGGTGTGTAAACCTCGGGTTCGGTATACCGCAGACGGTTATAGTATGTTATAGAAACATATGGAAAGTTCTGTGATGTTCTAATGCTGCTAGACTGGTGAGGGCACGGTATAGAAACCTCCAGAAGCTTGTTAGGCGGTATATAAGGGCCAATCAGAGTGTGTTTACGTATCTCTCAAACATTTCGTCTCTCGCGCATTTTTATCGCTTCGATACCAGCTTTCATACGAGGATCGCTCGCCATTCCTGAATCCCTGTCTAGCCCATCACGAAAGCTTGACCGGTGTCGCCGCTGGGTGAATATATATTATCACTGACTTTTGCTATCACCACTGTATTTTTGTATTTGCTACAGGACACTGTCATCATATTATATACTGCCATTGAATATTGTACTACCACTCCATTGTTTACTGCCATTGCGACTGCTGTAATTTGTATTGATTTGCAAACTTTGTGAATTTTGTAAATATGTTTGTTGATTGTATGCCACTTGTTGTTTGTTTGTTGGTTTCACGTACCTTTACGTACAGATTTCTGGGCTAACATTTTGTTTCAATTTAGGAATCGACACGTAACAGTGTACCGATGAGTGTCGGGTATATAACCCCATAATCCACACAGATACCGGGTGGCCATGGATCATGAAACAATCACAAACGATACGATAACCAAATGTGTCTTTGTTTGTTTGTTTAATTCAATTTAGTGTATATTGTATGAAAGGTCATTGGCCCTTGTGAGTGATACATACAATTATATTAACAAATATTGTAGTATACCCAGCAACAACAGCTGGCGTAACATAAAAGCCTGACAAATATTTCAAGATACATGTACTTTTATACGTATGTTTATATGTATTGTTTGACGATTGACATACCAGATGTACACTCTATTTCATTCATATTTTATTTCATACAGGGCAAATATACATAAAATGAAATACCTCTTCAAATTGTTTGTTTGTTGTTTAATGCCGCACTCAGCAATATTCCAGCTATATGACGGTTGCATGTAAATAACCCAAATTTGGACCAGACAATCCAGTGATTGATATCATGACCATCGACCAATGCAACTGGAATACGATGAAATGCATCAACCAAGTCAGTGAGCCTGACCACCGGATCCCGTTATTCGCCTCTTACGACAAGCATAGTCGCCTCTTACAACAGCTTGGGATGCTGAAGACCAATTCAAACCCGGATGTTCACGGGTGTATGCTGGTCGTAAGAGGCGCCCCTATCGTGTGGTCAGGCTCGGCGACTTGGTTGATAGCTTGTCCGTGTTCAGTGTTATCCTGTATTGGCGTGTCAGACACATATCACACCCTCCACATACTGTCTTTGTATGTATATATATGAGCTTGTCATTAGGAAGTTGAGATCACGTGTGTTTATCTCGGAGCAGGTGACCTCACCAGGTTTAGATAGTTACTGAGCCGCGCGGAGACAGTTAGTTGCCAGCGAGTGTTGGAGCTGACAGGAAAAAGAAACATGAAGTGGAGTTGTGTCGTCTGCGGGGTTGTACTTGCCACTCTCATCCTCGCCACACAGGGGATCTACCCACAGCCGGAGCAGATCCACCTGTCGTACGGAGGTGTGTATGTAAGGGGTTGTATACTATGCATTCTGACGGCTCACACCGATGTGGCGGTTTTAGGCTTGCTATAATATTTTTGAATGTGCATTATCCTGAACATGATTGGAGAATGTGCAAACTCACTATATAACTAGGTAATGTGTGTGGTGAAGTTAGAACAGAATGTATGAATATCATAGCTCTACACTGAACACATGGTCAATATTTGACTGGCTTGTATACTGTCTACTTCATCATCATCAACGTCATCATCAACATAATCATCATCATTATAAATATCATTATTTGAGGCTGAGAAATTATCAGTTAACCGCCGTATCTGTAACATATTCAGCAGCAGGAGATACTACAGTGATAATTCGCTGACATGTGCCTATCAGAGATATCAGGTGGTCAACCCATCGTCGACCCTTAGATCTGGGGATGCGGGAAAGTGCACGTGCCTCTGATAGCCCGTCGCATGATGTCAGTCGTGTGTGTCATTAGTTGGACGCTGTTAGGTCATGTTCAGATCTACGTATCAACACAACATTAACACACAAAAAAAACCGATTCGGACCCGAAGATGTCCACAAACGCAACAGCTGTTCGGCACTTACACCTCTCCTACATATATCATATATCATATATTTACCCACACAAACAACACACACATACACACACAATATACACACACACAACACAACACACACACAAACAACACACACACAAACACATACATACACACACACATACACACATGACTATATATATATATATATATATATATATATATATATATATATATATATATATATATATATATATATATATATATATATATATATATACATATATATATATATATGTAGAGAAATTAACAAAATAATTACACGACACGGAAAGTTACCCCATCTGGTTCAGCTTCAACTTCAGTGGAAGTACTGCAATCACTTCTCCCTGAAGATTAAGGTGAAACATGCAGGAGAACTTTCCATGTGGTGTATTTTGTGAATTTCTGTACAACTGTACACCACTTATTACACACAAACACACACACACACACACACACACACACACACACACACACACACACACACACACACACACACACACACACACACACACACACACACACACACACACACACACACACACACACACACACACACACACACACACACACACACACCACACCACACCACCCACACACACACACACACACACACACACACACACACATGGTACTATACATCATATAGCCTCATGGTAGTGTATACTGGTTCGTCATTGTTTAGCTACAAGATTGCTATACCTTGTGTTTCTCCATCACTAAGTTTTGTATCCAAACAGACAGCCTCCGTGGCCTAGTGGATACAGCGTCTTCCCGGAGGAATGCTTCTTGTAGTTGCACTTCTCGCTGTTACGTCATAGACATTATGACGCCACACATACTACCGTTGTGCGTCGCCTAGGGCTACAATGTCAGTTAAACTCTCTATATATTTATATATATTTATATTATATACATATGTCTGCAGACAATCCCCCGACTATATATACATATGTCTGGAGAAATAACTTTGAATGTAGGATATTGCTCATGTAGATTTCATATTGTAGCCGCTCCCGACCAGATGGTGGTGACGTGGGTGACACTCGACGAGGCCAGCACCGCCACCGTCAACTACGGCGAGGGGAAACTCGACCAGACCCAGTACGGAAAAACCACCGTGTTCACTGATGGTGGCACAGAGAAACGTGTACTCTACATACACCGTGTACTACTGTCAGGCCTGAAGCTGGGCCACCAATACAGTGAGTAGATATAGATCCCGTGTCTACTGATGGTGGCACAGAGAAACGTGTACTCTACATTCACCGTGTACTACTGTCAGGCCTGAACCTGGGCCACCAATACAGTGAGTAGATATAGATCCCGTGTCTACTGATGTTGGCACAGAGAAACGTGTACTCTACATACACCGTGTACTACTGTCAGGCCTGAACCTGGGCCACCAATACAGTGAGTAGATATAGATCCCGTGTCTACTGATGGTGGCACAGAGAAACGTGTACTCTACATACACCGTGTACTACTGTCAGGCCTGAACCTGGGCCACCAATACAGTGAGTAGATATAGATCCCGTGTCTACTGATGGTGGCACAGAGAAACGTGTACTCTACATACACCGTGTACTACTGTCAGGCCTGAACCTGGGCCACCAATACAGTGAGTAGATATAGATCCCCTGTCTACTGATGGTGGCACAGAGAAGCGAGTACTCTACATACACCGTGTACTACTGTCAGGCCTGAACCTGGGCCACCAATACAGTGAGTAGATATAGATCCCCTGTCTACTGATGGTGGCACAGAGAAGCGAGGCCTACCTTTTTTCCAGGCCTACATTATAGTGTTCTAACGATGTGAAGATGTTTTGATGTATGCTAAATGTTTAAAGTATCTAAATACCAGGCTACAGCGCACGAGTTGTATGTTCCAGCCTACAGATGCGGGAGTGACGCCGGCTACAGCTCCCTCTTCACCTTCAGGGCGATGAAAGGGGGCAGTGACTGGAGTCCCCAACTTGCTGTCTTTGGTGACCTTGGCAATGAGAACCCACGTGCATTGCCTTATTTACAAGAAGAGGCAGAGGCTGGACACTTTGACGCCATTATGCACGTGGGTACGTGACAAGCTTGTGTTGGTGATATCTCCATATTGGTTTGTGAGAAACTTGTGTTGGTGCTATCTCCACATTGATTGGGACAAACTTGTGTTGGTGATATCTCCACATTGATTGGGACAAACTTGTGTTGGTGCTATCTCCACATTGATTGGGACAAACTTGTGTTGGTGATATCTCCACATTGATTGGGACAAACTTGTGTTGGTGCTATCTCCACATTGATTGGGACAAACTTGTGTTGGTGATATCTCCACATTGATTGGGACAAACTTGTGTTGGTGTTATCTCCACATTGATTGGGACAAACTTGTGTTCGTGATATATCCACATTGATTTGTGACAAGCTTGTGTTGGTGATATCTCCACATTGATTGGGAGAAGCTTGTGTTGGTGATATCTCCATATTGGTTAGTGACAAGCTTGTGTTGGTGATATCTCCACATTGGTTTGTGACAAACTTGTGTTCGTGATATATCCACATTGGTTAGTGACAAACTTGTGTTGGTGATATCTCCACATTGGTTAGTGACAAGCTTGTGTTGGTGATATCTCCACATTGGTTTGTGACAAGCTTGTGTTGGTGATATCTCCACATTGGTTAGTGACAAGCTTGTGTTGGTGATATCTCCACATTGATTTGTGACAAGCTTGTGTTGGTGTTATCTCCACATTGATTGGGACAAACTTGTGTTGGTGATATCTCCACATTGATTGGGACAAACTTGTGTTGGTGTTATCTCCACATTGATTGGGACAAACTTGTGTTCGTGATATATCCACATTGATTTGTGACAAGCTTGTGTTGGTGATATCTACACATTGATTGGGAGAAGCTTGTGTTGGTGTTATCTCCACATTGATTGGGACAAGCTTGTGTTGGTGTTATCTCCACATTGGTTAGTGACAAGCTTGTGTTGGTGATATCTCCACATTGATTGGGAGAAGCTTGTGTTGGTGATATCTCCATATTGGTTAGTGACAAGCTTGTGTTGGTGATATCTCCACATTGGTTTGTGACAAACTTGTGTTCGTGATATATCCACATTGGTTAGTGACAAACTTGTGTTGGTGATATCTCCACATTGGTTAGTGACAAGCTTGTGTTGGTGATATCTCCACATTGGTTTGTGACAAGCTTGTGTTGGTGATATCTCCACATTGGTTAGTGACAAGCTTGTGTTGGTGATATCTCCACATTGATTTGTGACAAGCTTGTGTTGGTGTTATCTCCACATTGGTTAGTGACAAGCTTGTGTTGGTGATATCTCCACATTGGTTTGTGACAAACTTGTGTTCGTGATATATCCGCATTGGTTAGTGACAAACTTGTGTTGGTGATATCTCCACATTGGTTAGTGACAAGCTTGTGTTGGTGATATCTCCACATTGATTTGTGACAAGCTTGTGTTGGTGTTATCTCCACATTGGTTAGTGACAAGCTTGTGTTGGTGATATATCCACATTGGTTAGTGACAAGCTTGTGTTGGTGATATCTCCACATTGGTTTGTGACAAACTTGTGTTCGTGATATATCCACATTGGTTAGTGACAAACTTGTGTTGGTGATATCTCCACATTGGTTAGTGACAAGCTTGTGTTGGTGATATCTCCACATTGATTTGTGACAAGCTTGTGTTGGTGTTATCTCCACATTGGTTAGTGACAAGCTTGTGTTGGTGATATATCCACATTGGTTAGTGACAAGCTTTTGGTCTTCATTTTCCTTTTGTAGAGCTTTGGTTAGTTAGGTTCGTGTTGGTTTTCGTGTTAAATTGCGGTATGGTATCAGACAGACAGACAGACAGACAGACAGATACACACACATCCACATCAATGTGAACTTCATTAATTATTTTCATGACGTGACGTTTCTTTTGCGGTGCAGTATCATTTGTTTACATAATTCCTTAACATCTACGCGTGGTTTTCTTTACAGGGGACTTCGCCTACGACTTTGACACCGTGAGTATCAGCTGGAGGGTGATGGGGGAGGGTGGAGAGGTCTGATGGGGAAGATGGACCGTTGGCTGTGGGTAGTGGGGGAGGTGGAGCGTTGCCTGTGGGTAGTGGGGGAAAGAGGAGTGTTGTCTGTGTGTAGTGGGGGAGGTGGAGTGTTGTATGTAGGTAGTTTGGGGGGGGGGGAGGGGGGGGAGGAGTGTTATGTGTGAGTAATACGGGAAGTTGGAGTGTTGTCTGTGGGTAGTGGGGGTGGTGGAGTGTTGTCTGTGGGTAGTGGGGTAAGGCGGAGTGTTGTCTGTGGGTAGTTGGGGGAAGGAGGAGTGTGTCGTCTGTGGGCAGTGGGGTAAAGTGGAGTGTTGTCTGTGGGTAGTCGGGGAGGTGGAGTGTTGTCTGTGGGTAGTCGGGGAGGTGGAGTGTTATGTGTTGGTAATAGGTAAGGTTTGAGAGTTGTCATGAGAAATAAATAACATGAACCGTTTCCAGGATAATGCCCGACTCGGAGATGAGTTCATGCGTCAGTTGGAGCCCGTCGCTGCCATGGTGCCGTATATGGTGTGTGTTGGCAACCATGAAAACGCATAGTGAGTACTTCCGTTACGTCACATTTGGTAGCAGAGATATCGATGTAACGGGGACATCATATACAACAAAAATGATAAATTTGCTTCTAAAACTAATTTATTTCACAAGTGAGCAGAACTACTGACTCCACATGAGTCCGTAGACCGTCAGTAAAAATCCAAGATGGTTGATACTGACCTATGTGAGACCGTACACCGTCAGTAACAGCCATCTTGGATTTTCCAACACCCACCTCACATATTTCACATGGAAATGCTAGTTTTGTGTTTTACTATCATTAATTGTGATGTGCAAGGACATTAATCTGATTTTTAGATCTAGTTCGTGACCTTTTTGATAAAAATTATAGTTAAAATTTTCAACAAGGTTTGGCCTCTAAGGTTTGAAGAGTGGTCTCCCTTGGACATCAGCAATGGCTGTCAAACGCTTTGCTTGTAGCACCGATGAGGAAATCTCTGATAAAAGGCAAAATGTGCGATATAGATACCAGAGAGTGTAAACTTATCGACATAATAAATTCGTTATGGTGTTTTTAGTTGCCGTATGCGGTGTCATATTAGGTTAGCATAAACAAACATTCTGGTAACCTAATATGGCACCGTACATAGCAACTGAAGACACCATGACCAACAGTATATCTATATAGCTGCAGGACTCCCCCCCCCCCCCCCCCCCCCCCACCTCACCCACGGGACGTCTGGCAGCCCCATACGCCTTGTCACGTGACCATATAGGTGTGTTGCTATTTGTCTTGTTGCTATCTGTTGTAAAACAAACGTAAATACTTGCAGCATCTTTACATACGACACATACCTCCTCTTTCAGCAACTTCTCCAACTACAGGAACAGATTCACAATGCCTGGCGGTGATGGAGAGGGCATGTATTTCAGGTAGGAATATTTAACCATTACAAGCCAGATGTGCCTATTTTGTATGGATATTAGCATCAGCCTGCGATATAAAACCTCAGACACCCTACTGCCTATCACCCATTATTTCTACATACTAGTCTCACAAAACCACACACGGCCGTTAATGTGAATGTGTTCTCAATATATTCAATATAATTGAACATCAGTGAATCTGGGCATGCGCGCATACACGCATTTACTGGTGAAGCGTGCACACACACATCGTTACACAGACACACATTGACAAGTGTCACACAGACACACACTTACTTGTGAAGCATACACACAGCGTTACACAGACACACACTGACAAGTGTTACACAGACACACACTGACAAGTGTCACACAGACACACACTTACTGGTGAAGCATACACACAGAGTCACACAGACACACATTGACAAGTGTTACACAGACACACATTTACTGGTGAAGCGTGCACACACACATCGTTACACAGACACACATTGACAAGTGTCACACAGACACACACTTACTGGTGAAGCATACACACAGCGTCACACAGACACACATTGACAAGTGTTACACAGACACACACTGACAAGTGTTACACAGACACACATTTACTGGTGAAGCATACACACAGAGTCACACAGACACACATTGACAAGTGTTACACAGACACACATTTACTGGTGAAGCGTGCACACACACATCGTTACACAGACACACATTGACAAGTGTCACACAGACACACACTTACTGGTGAAGCATACACACAGCGTCACACAGACACACATTGACAAGTGTTACACAGACACACACTGACAAGTGTTACACAGACACACAATTACTGGTGAAGCATACACACAGAGTCACACAGACACACATTGACAAGTGTTACACAGACACACATTTAGTGGTGAAGCGTGCACAGCGTCACACAGACACACATTGACAAGTGTTACACATACACACATTTACTGGTGAAGCGTGCACAGCGTCACACATACACACATTGACAAGTGTTACACAGACACACACTGACAAGTGTTACACAGACACACACTGACAAGTGTTACACAGACACACACTGACAAGTGTTACACAGACACACATCGACAAGTGTTACACAGACACACATTTACTGGTGAAGCATACACACATAGCGTTACACAGACACACATTGACAAGTGTTACACAGACACATTTACTGGTGAAGCGTGCACAGCGTCACACATACACACATTGACAAGTGTTACACAGACACACACTGACAAGTGTTACACTGACACACACTGACAAGTGTTACACAGACACACACTGACAAGTGTTACACAGACACACATTGACAAGTGTTACACAGACACACACTGACAAGTGTTACACAGACACACATTGACAAGTGTTACACAGACACACATTTACTGGTGAAGCGTGCACAGCGTCACGCAGACACACATTGACAAGTGTTACACATACACACATTTACTGGTGAAGCATGCACACAGACAAACATTGACAAGTGTTACACAGACACACATTTACTGGTGAAGCATACACACAGCGTCACACAAACACACATGGACAAGTGTTACACATACACACATTTACTGGTGAAGCATACACACAGCGTCACACAGACACACATTGACAAGTGTTACACAGACACACATTTACTGGTGAAGCATACACACACAGCGTTACACAGACACACATTGACAAGTGTTACACAGACACACATTTACTGGTGAAGCGTGCACAGCGTCACACAGACACACATTGACAAGTGTTACACAGACACACATTTACTGGTGAAGCATACACACAGCGTCACACAGACACACATTGACAAGTGTTACACAGACACACATTTACTGGTGAAGCGTGCACAGCGTCACACAGACACACATTGACAAGTGTTACACAGACACACATTTACTGGTGAAGCGTGCACAGCGTCACAGAGACACACATTGTCAAGTGTTACACAAACACACACAGCGTCACACAGTCACACATTGACAAGTGTCACACAGACACACATTGACAAGTGTTCCACACATCTGCAGCTGGAACATCGGCCCCGCCCACATCATCAGCTTCTCCACTGAGGTGTACTACTACGGCGTGAGTACAGAGAGCATCCGCGCCCAGTACGAGTGGCTGGAGAAGGACCTCCAGGCGGCCAACCTACCGGGCAACAGAGCAGCTCGGCCATGGATCATCGTGATGGGCCACAAACCCATGTACTGCTCCAACATGGGGGAGGAAGCCCTGTGTGACAACGTCAACAACCCGGTACGTCGACCACCGACATCACTACGGGGACCAACATGGCTGGCTTCACTCTTCAAATTATAATCAGTAAAGTAGACAGTCACCCAAACGGATTTGATTCACTTTTGTCATCAGTGAATTAACATTTTTCCCCGACATTATTATGACAGTGAGAGTCTTTGACTTCTCCATGACGTATTAACTACAAGACGCTGGTTGTTTTATCAAAAGAAAGGTGGCTTAATAAAAGGAATATATTTTGCATGTGAACAAAGCGGTACTTTGACGCTCTAGTTTGAGATATATCTGTTCACAGATCAGAAATGGCAACAAGTACTACCCTGCTAGTCTAGAGGAGTTGTTCTACAAGTATGGCGTGGACCTGGAGTTCTATGCCCATGAACATTCGTACGAGCGGCTTTGGCCAGTGTACAAGACCAAGGTGGGTACACTGTCTGCATCGAGAACCTGCCTACATCCACAAACCTACCATGTCCACATCCTGCACAGGATATTCCCAAACTCTCAATACCTGTTTGCAATATGGACGTCTCGAAGTCCCACACGATCACGTCTACATCCGGATCACTGAGCTGCGCCCCCTAGTGAAGGTGACATGTCCTCATCTCAATTCAAATATGTGTTTTAATTCAGATATTCATCACTAAGGTCGACGTTAAATCTTGATTTGTATGTTTACTCAAACTATTGAAGTTACAGAAATGAAATGTAACACACTGGTCTTACTGGTCATGAATTCAAAATAATGAGTTCGAGAATAAGGTTCTTAAATTATTGTTTTTCAGAATTTTCCTCCTTGCTCGCTGCTTTTTAAACTGGTGCAGAGTGTCTGCAATGGGGACATTTTTTCAGAAACTTCTGAAGTTATATGAATATATGTTCACAAGCTTTTCTTAGAAGAGATACTTTTTAAGAATGAGTTCGAAATTGGGGCCGTAAATTTTGTATTTCCAGAGTTACGTATATGTTTTCAGATATTGTGTACACACAGTTGCAGACTTTGGTCTATTTTTCTTTATTAAATGCATGGTGTCTCTAATAGGGAATTTTTCTCAGAAACTACTGAAGTTACAAAGATACTCATCTTTGTTTGAAAATGTAATGCATAATTGATTATTTTGTGTGTATTTATTGTGTAATTAATAAAGCAACCCTTGTGCCCATCTCTTTATGTGGATATATAGGACTCTTTTTTCTATAGCTAACATGAACTTCCATGTTAGTCACTATTATATGAACAAACATAATTCTAATGTGCCCCGTGGCGGGGTATAGTGATAACGCTGTTTTCTTGTTTTAAATGGTTTTGTATAAAAAAAATTATGATAGGATGATGTACACTTTATTTCCATGGCATGATTTTCAGATTTGCAACGGCAGCATTGACAAGCCCTACGTCAACCCCAAGGCGCCCGTGCACATTGTTACTGGATCTGCCGTGAGTCCAGGGGAAACAGTTGATATGTACAAATGTTGCTACAAATATATATATATATATATTGTTAGGTTTCAGTGCAGCAAACAATTGGTATATATATAATTTATATACATATGGTATATTTAATGTTGAAGAGAATTATATATGTAATGCTGAGGACAATAATATAAACTGACGTCCAAAAGACACTTTACCAAAGTTTTAAATCGCTTAGTTTTTAAAACCACAAAAGAAATATGCATGAAGTAAACCGTAGCTAAAGATCTAAATCTCAACCAATCAACTTGTATACTGGCAGTCATACAGCATCCGATATTGGCATGACAGTTGCCCGAACTGAGGTGGGGTAGCAAAACAAGCTTTCCACATCATCGACAAAGGGCACACATCTAAAATCGCTCAATGTTCAATGACACGTCACATTAATAGCGTGTATGACTGCCCCTGATACAAGACACACAAGAAAGAGTCAGTCGTCTGATGACGTCACGTGGAATACGTCGCCATTCTTCTTTGAGGGCCTGGATCATTTCTTGTCGGTTGTGGTCGCTGCCGAACAAGGCGATCCATGACATCCCAGAGGTATTGTATGGAGGACATGTCGGTGGAGCGCACAGGCCAGGGCAACACGTTGACGTTGTTGGCTGCAAGGAAGTTCTGTACGATTCGGGCTGTATTGGGTCTGGCATTGTCATGCTAAAAAAGGACACCGCGTGGCAGCCGTTGTAGAAAATTAATGGTTGGACAGTCGGACGAAGAATGTCATCCATGTAAAGCTGAGGTGTCAGATTTCCGTTAAAGATGACCAGTGATGTTCGCTCCTGCCCACAAATTCCGCCCAGCACCATAACACCCCATCCACCAGACCGCACGACATCCTGAACGCACCCTGCCGCGATTCGTTCTCTCCTTCGGCGATATAGGCTGTCTTCTGTCAGCTCTGAACAAACAGAACCGGTTTCATCAGCTGCCAACGACGTAAAGTCCGGGCCCATCACAATCTCTGACGACGATCTTTCGCTGTCAATAAATATCCTCTGTAAGGTCTGTAAGCCCTAATTCACTGAGGCCTGAGTCCTGAGTCCTGGTTGTCGACTAACCATATGCCCTAAGGCATTCGTCGCTGATGACGTCAATGTCAGGAAACGATTCCGGAGATGCAAAGTACCAACAAGTACCGGTCTTCATTGGGCGAAGTTACCCTTGGTCTGCCTGTTCTTGGCCTGTTTGATGTCTGACCGGTCTGTAACGTTGCATCAGGTTAATTAGAGCAACTCGGGAGCTAGCAATGTGCGCATGTGTGGCTCCGATCTGTGTCATACCCAGGGCCCGTTCGCGTTGTTGGGGTGTCTGGCGTGGTATTCTATGGTGGTGTTTTATTAGTGTGAGTGTCTGGCATTTATATACGGCGCCACCCATATTCCACGTGTAGTTTCGACTGTCCAAGCTGCACATGTTTTAAACGTTTTCGCATTTTCTTAAATAAATACTTAGCGTGGAAGTGTGTCACTTTCTGAACGGGGCATTCTTGTGTTTGGTCGATGTGTTTTGCATTTATTTGAACTTGTGCTTTAACATTTTTGCAATTTGTTTTTTAAGTGGTAAAGTTTCTTTGACTTTCAGTTTATGTGAAACGGGGGTCAATGTAGGGATGTAGCATAAAGACACAACTGTTGGTTTATTTCAGGGTGACATAGAAGGACAAACAAAATTTGAACATACACTGTTCCCCTGGACCGCTTTCCACACAGACGACTATGGGTACACCCGAGTGACAGTGCAGAATACAACACATCTCTACCTGGAGGAAATGTCGGTTGACAAGGTCTGTCCCGTCAGGAATCACTGCACATGATCTCTGAAAAGTACATGTAGGAGTCATATATTGCCCAACACATGATCTCTGAAAAGTGCATGTAGGAGTCATATATTGCCCAACACATGATCTCTGAAAAGTACATGTAGGAGTCATACATTGCCCAACACATGATCTATGACAAACACGTGTACATATATTGCTCAACACGTGATCTCTGAAAGGTACATGTAGGAGTCATATATTCCCCAGCACGTGATCTATGACAAACACGTGTACATATATTGCCCAACACGTGATCTCTGAAAAGTCCATGAAGGAGTCATATATTGCCCAACACATGATCTCTGAAAAGTACATGTAGTAGTCATATATTGCCCAACACATGATCTCTGAAAAGTACATGTAGGAGTCATATATTGCCCAGCACATGATCTCTGAAAAACACGTGTACATATATTGCCCAGCACGTGATCTCTGAAAAACACGTCTACATATATTGCCCAACACATGATCTCTGAAAAGTACATGTAGGAGTCATATATTGCCCAACACGTGATCTCTGAAAAGTCCATGTAGGAGTCATATATTGCCCAACACATGATCTCTGAAAAGTGCATGTAGGAGTCATATATTGCCCAACACATGATCTCCGAAAAGTACATGTAGGAGTCATATATTGCCCAACACATGATCTCTGAAAAGTACATGTAGGAGTCATATATTGCCCAACACATGATCTCTGAAAAGTACATGTAGGAGTCATATATTGCCCAGCACGTGATCTCTGAAAAACACGTGTACATATATTGCCCAACACATGATCTCTGAAAAACACGTGTACATATATTGCCCAACACATGATCTCTGAAAAGTATATGTAGGAGTCATATATTGCCCAACACATGATCTCTGAAAAGTACATGTAGGAGTCATAAATTGCCCAACACGTGATCTCTGAAAAAACACGTCTACATATATTGCCCAACACATGATCTCTGAAAAGTACATGTAGGAGTCATATATTGCCCAACACATGATCTCTGAAAAGTACATGTAGGAGTCATATATTGCCCAGCACGTGATCTCTGAAAAACAAGTTTACATATATTGCCCAACACGTGATCTCTGAAAAACACGTGTACATATATTGCTCAACACATGATCTCTGAAAAACACGTGTACATATATTGCCCAACACATGATCTCTGAAAAGTACATGTAGGAGTCATATATTGCCCAACACATGATCTCTGAAAAGTACATGTAGGAGTCATATATTGCCCAACACATGATCTCTGAAAAGTACATGTAGGAGTCATATATTGCCCAACACGTGATCTCTGAAAAGTCCATGTAGGAGTCATATATTGCCCAACACATGATCTCTGAAAAGTGCATGTAGGAGTCATATATTGCCCAACACATGATCTCCGAAAAGTACATGTAGGAGTCATATATTGCCCAACACATGATCTCTGAAAAGTACATGTAGGAGTCATATATTGCCCAACACATGATCTCTGAAAAGTACATGTAGGAGTCATATATTGCCCAGCACGTGATCTCTGAAAAACACGTGTACATATATTGCCCAACACATGATCTCTGAAAAACACGTGTACATATATTGCCCAACACATGATCTCTGAAAAGTATATGTAGGAGTCATATATTGCCCAACACATGATCTCTGAAAAGTACATGTAGGAGTCATAAATTGCCCAACACGTGATCTCTGAAAAAACACGTCTACATATATTGCCCAACACATGATCTCTGAAAAGTACATGTAGGAGTCATATATTGCCCAACACATGATCTCTGAAAAGTACATGTAGGAGTCATATATTGCCCAGCACGTGATCTCTGAAAAACAAGTTTACATATATTGCCCAACACGTGATCTCTGAAAAACACGTGTACATATATTGCTCAACACATGATCTCTGAAAAACACGTGTACATATATTGCCCAACACATGATCTCTGAAAAGTACATGTAGGAGTCATATATTGCCCAACACATGATCTCTGAAAAGTACATGTAGGAGTCATATATTGCCCAACACATGATCTCTGAAAAGTACATGTAGGAGTCATATATTGCCCAGCACGTGATCTCTGAAAAACAAGTTTACATATATTGCCCAACACATGATCTCTGAAAAACACGTGTACATATATTGCCCAACACGTGATCTCTGAAAAACACGTGTATATATATTGCCCAACACGTGATCTCTGAAAAACACGTGTACATATATTGCCCAACACATGATCTCTGAAAAACACGTTTACATATATTGCCCAACACATGATCTCTGAAAAACACGTCTACATATATTGCCCAACACATGATCTCTGAAAAACACGTCTACATATATTGCCTAACACATGATCTCTGAAAAGTACATGTAGGAGTCATATATTGCCAAACACATGATCTCTGAAAAGTACATGTAGGAGTCATATATTGCCCAACACATGATCTCTGAAAAGTACATGTAGGAGTCATATATTGCCCAACACATGATCTCTGAAAAGTACATGTAGGAGTCATATATTGCCCAACACATGATCTCTGAAAAGTACATGTAGGAGTCATATATTGCCCAGCACATGATCTCTGAAAAACACGTGTACATATATTGCCCAACACATGATCTCTGAAAAACACGTGTACATATATTGCCCAACACATGATCTCTGAAAAGTATATGTAGGAGTCATATATTGCCCAACACATGATCTCTGAAAAGTACATGTAGGAGTCATAAATTGCCCAACACGTGATCTCTGAAAAAACACGTCTACATATATTGCCCAACACATGATCTCTGAAAAGTACATGTAGGAGTCATATATTGCCCAACACATGATCTCTGAAAAGTACATGTAGGAGTCATATATTGCCCAGCACGTGATCTCTGAAAAACAAGTTTACATATATTGCCCAACACGTGATCTCTGAAAAACACGTGTACATATATTGCTCAACACATGATCTCTGAAAAACACGTGTACATATATTGCCCAACACATGATCTCTGAAAAGTACATGTAGGAGTCATATATTGCCCAACACATGATCTCTGAAAAGTACATGTAGGAGTCATATATTGCCCAACACATGATCTCTGAAAAGTACATGTAGGAGTCATATATTGCCCAGCACGTGATCTCTGAAAAACAAGTTTACATATATTGCCCAACACGTGATCTCTGAAAAACACGTGTACATATATTGCCCAACATGTGATCTCTGAAAAACACGTGTACATATATTGCCCAACACGTGATCTCTGAAAAACACGTGTATATATATTGCCCAACACGTGATCTCTGAAAAACACGTGTACATATATTGCCCAACACATGATCTCTGAAAAACACGTTTACATATATTGCCCAACACATGATCTCTGAAAAACACGTCTACATATATTGCCCAACACATGATCTCTGAAAAACACGTCTACATATATTGCCTAACACATGATCTCTGAAAAGTACATGTAGGAGTCATATATTGCCCAACACATGATCTCTGAAAAGTACATGTAGGAGTCATATATTGCCCAACACATGATCTCTGAAAAGTACATGTAGGAGTCATATATTGCCCAACACATGATCTCTGAAAAGTACATGTAGGAGTCATATATTGCCCAACACGTGATCTCTGAAAAACACGTGTACATATATTGCCCAACACATGATCTCTGAAAAACACGTGTACATATATTGCCCAACACGTGATCTCTGAAAAACACGTCTACATATTGCCCAACACGTGATCTCTGAAAAACACGTGTACATATATTGCCCAACATGTGATCTCTGAAAAACACGTCTACATATTGCCCAACACGTGGTCTCTGAAAAACACGTGTACATATATTGCCCAACATGCGATCTCTGAAAAACACGTGTACACATATTGCACAACACATGATCTATCGAATATACTTGTAGGAGCCATGTATTGCACAACACCTGATCTATCAAATACACTAGTAGAAATCACGTATTGTACAACACATGGTTTATCAAATATACTTGTAGGAGTCACATATTGCACAACAAGTGATCTATCAAATATACTTGTAGGAGCCATGTATTGCACAACACATGATCTATCAAATATGTTTGTAGGAGTCACGTATTGCACAACACATGATCTATCAAATATACTTGTCGGAGTCATATACTGCACAGCACATGATCTATCAAATATGCTTGTAGGAGCCATGTATTGCACAACACATGATCTATCAAATATGCTTGTAGGAGTCACGTATTGCACAACACATGATCTATCAAATATACTTGTCGGAGCCATATACTGCACAATACATGATCTATCAAATATACTTGTAGGAGCCATGTATTGCACAACACATGATCTATCAAATATGCTTGTAGGAGTCACGTATTGCACAACACATGATCTATCAAATATACTTGTCGGAGTCATATACTGCACAGCACATGATCTATCAAATATGCTTGTAGGAGCCATGTATTGCACAACACATGATCTATCAAATATGCTTGTAGGAGTCACGTATTGCACAACACATGATCTATCAAATATACTTGTCGGAGCCATATACTGCACAATACATGATCTATCAAATATACTTGTAGGAGCCATGTATTGCACAACACATGATCTATCAAATATGCTTGTAGGAGTCACGTATTGCACAACACATGATCTATCAAATATGTTTGTAGGAGTCACGTATTGTACAACACATGATCTATCGAATATACTTGTCGGAGCCATATACTGCACAACACATGATCTATCAAATATACTTGTAGGAGCCATGTGTTGCACAACAAATGATCTATCAAATATGCTTGTAGGAGTCACGTATTGCACAGCACATGATCTATCAAATATACTTGTAGGATATATGCGTTGGTATGACAACAACGGTTTTCAGTCGGTGGATGTCGGATATATGCGTTGGTATGACAACAACGGTTTTCAGTCGGTGGATGTGGGATATATGCGTTGGTATGACAACAACGGTTTTCAGTCGGTGGATGTCGGATATATGCGTTGGTATGACAACAACGGTTGTCAGTCGGGTGGATGTGGGATATATGCGTTGGTATGACAACAACGGTTTTCAGTCGGTGGATGTCGGATATATGCGTTGGTATGACAACAACGGTTTTCAGTCGGGTGGATGTGGGATATATGCGTTGGTATGACAACAACGGTTGTCAGTCGGGTGGATGTGGGATATATGCGTTGGTATGACAACAACGGTTTTCAGTCGGGTGGATGTGGGATATATGCGTTGGTATGACAACAACGGTTGTCAGTCGGGTGGATGTGGGATATATGCGTTGGTATGACAACAACGGTTGTCAGTCGGGTGGATGTGATGGCGGCGGGGACCAGTTGGCTGGCCGCCCGAACCACGGGTATAACGACGACAGTTTTCAGTCGGGTGGATTTAACTTGGCGGGTATTACTTGGTTGGTCGTCAGAAATGTGAAGAAGTTGATTCTAGTTGTGTTTTTTTCTTGCAGAAGGGGGCTGTGATTGATAAGGCGTGGATAGTACGTGACTCTCACTCGGCCGGCCAGTTCAACTGTCAGGCGGTTCCCAGGTAGCCACGCGGAGGTCTCTCCAAGTCTTCGGCAGAAATCAAGCATCTGTACTCCAATGATTAACTCACGGAGGCGACGATAACTTAATGTCATTTTATCATGCGATATAATGCATTGTGAATATTATTTTTACAACTTTGATGATAATACAATGTGTTTTAAATGACCAATAGTATAAGCAAATAAACATTAAACATTACTTTGCTGTGATTGTTTGGATTCAGAACATAGCGGTAGAAAAACTTCCGGGACAGAAGCAACCATCTAGAAATAACGAGGTCGAAACACACGCATAACCATGTAGCTAGACCAGAATATATAGCATATACCGTGAGCCACACCCACACGCATAACCATGTAGCTAGACCAGAATATATAGCATATACAGTGAGCCACACCCAAGGGGTCCCTGGTTTGTTGGTTGCCCTACCGAGTGGTATATTGTCAGGGGGAATGCTGGTTTGTTGGTTGCCCTACACAGTGGTATATTGTCAGGGGGAATGCTGGTTTGTTGGTCGCCCTACACAGCGGTATATTGTCAGGGGGAATGCTGGTTTGTTGGTTGCCCTGCACAGTGGTATATTGTCAGGGGGTATGCTGGTTACTGTATACTCTTCAAAAAGAGAAACGCAGTTCGGAAATCTTTGGCCATAAAAGCAAAATTCGCGGACCAAGACGTGCAAAATGAAGAGGTTTAATATCGTATAGTGTCAGTATATTATAGGGTCTTTGCTTGCCTGGCATCGGCGTCAATCGAACAGTGACAGTTCAACAACATGCCGACATTAACAATAGTGCAAAGAAACAAGGCCGCTTGCAGGCAGGGGAATCCCGATCAGCTGTAGCCAGGGTTTTCAATGTAGCGCCCAGCACCATCACCATGGGATCGGTTTCAACAGCATGGGTCAACACGTGATCGGCCAAGGTCGGGACGACCATGAGTACCACCCCCACCCAATATCCATACATCCGACTGCGCCACCTACGTGAAAGGACGGCCACAGCCACCTCAACCGCATCCCGAATACCCGGACTGCGCAGAAACTCCGACCAGAACGTACGTGCTGTAAGAGCAGCAGGTCTAAACGTCCTGTTTGATGCGTCATATTGAGTAGACAACATCGTCAACAACGACTGCATTGGTGTCGTCAAAACAGGGTATGGCTTCAACTGCGATGGAGAGATGTATGGTTCAGCGACGAATCAAGATGTCTCCTCCGTCGAAGGGATGGAAGAGCACGGGTCTGCAGACGTCGGGGCGAACGTTACGCCGGAAACTGCGTACAGGAAGTGGACATGTTTGGTGGGGTAGCGTTATGATGTGGGTGGATATCTCTCATCATGGCAGAACAGTTTTGGTCCATATCCAGGGCAGTCTTACGGCTCAACGATACATCAACGACATTCTCCTGCCACACGTCCTCCCAATTGCAGCAAACGACAACGGTGTACACCAGCAGGACAACGCTAGACCGCATACAGCACGGTTCACAAAAGCCTGTGTACATAACAACAACGTTGACGTTCTCCCCTGGCCTTCCAGGTCCCCGGATGTGAATCCGATACAACACCTGTGGGATGAATTGGATAGACGGCGATGTCAACCACAACCCAAGACGTTGCAGCAGTTGGCTTTTGCCTTGCAGGCCGAGTGGGCTACCATTCCCCAGGATGTATTTCGCATACTCGTCTCGTCCATGGTCAGGAGATGTCAGGCCGCTGTCGATTCCAACTGGGGATATACGCGTTATTGATGGTAGCTGACATTCACCTTGGACTTGGACCGATAACTGAGATGACTACAATCACCAAGTGTTCTCTCCACAACATTTTGGCTCAATACCTTGTACGGTTCCTCGTATAAATGTATTTTCCTATCTCAAACAAATCTGGCTTTGCGTTTCTCTTTTTGAAGAGTATACAATATATGTTGTAGGTGTTATACCACGCACCGACCACGCACAAAAACCTCATACATCCCGAGTGATCCTGCTACAACGAATTTATCTTGCCGACATGTTTCAGTGCGCTATTACTGGACCACTCTCAAGGGGTTCCTCGTCTGTTGGTTGCCCTACACAATGGTATTCATACGCGGGGCCACCCAAGTGTGTTAAAGTTCTGCAGAGGGACAAATGTTCCCTGTAAACGTTGTAATAAGAAGTAGTCTTGTACAAATGAAAATCAAATTAAAATACAGACAAAACATGTTCACAGATAATTATTTATTGATATAAGACGCATTGTGAATATAAAAAATAATGTATATTTATACTTTAAAGAATGTTGTATATTTTATGTCCGCTTCAGAATCTCGTGAAGCATCGTGAGGTTGTATAACATGTGTAAAATAGCCTCGAATACGTGATGCTCATTGTCTACGTTCTGCGCATGACACGTTATTATACCCAAGATAACGTTTACGTTGGACATACGTCACACCTGCATTATACGCTAGATAATGTATTCTTTAGACATGCGTCACGTGCAATGGTCAGGTATATTATGTATACGGTATGCACGTGTTACACGTGCATCAAACCTGAGATAATATACACGGTATGCACGCGTCACACGTGCATTATCCCTAAGATAGTGTATGAGTTATTCACGTGTCACACGTGCATTACACCCGGAATAATGCACGTTATGCACACGTGACACGTGCTTAAAACGCTAGTGTATACGTTAACCCCGCGTCACTCGTGTATTAATATCTGGAAAGTGTACACGTTATTTACGTGCCACACGTGCGTTATATCCCAGATACCGTTACGTTCTGCACGTTCCCCCCATGCATTATCCTTTAGATAATGTGTACGTTGTGCACGTGTCCACCACGTGTTCATTATACAATATCTGCCCTGGGGGGATCACTGCTCAACCGTGACTTATACACCTGAAGGTGTAAGAAACCGACACCTGAACGTGTAACAAATCTGAAATCTGTCTAGAGGGACCAACTGGCAACACGTTGAAGTCGATTGTTGTGAATATCGTCACATTCAGAAATGATGTATAACATATTTTTTTTCTACATAAGTCTTCAAAAAATTGTATGAGCCCTTTATAATCCAATGTCTAATACTACATATTCAACGAATACAGCATAACGTAATATACACTATTAGCATTGCCGACGTCATTGCATCCGATCGTTCATGGGAGCTCGAGGGGTTTAATCGTTTAGGAAATCATCAGTTATTATAGCCATGTCGTCGTTGACGAAGATGCTGGTGGGGGTGCTCGCTAATGCTTCGCCGTTTGTCGTCAAGACGTCTGTAAGTGGGTTAATGTCCGAGTATGTTGGCAGTTGACTATAGGGTGGCATGCTCCAGATCAGACCCCCCGCAGACTCCCCAACAGTGCTGTATGGGTACGGAGGCGCCGGTCTCGTCATTGCCTCGCAACACTGCTCTCCTAAACATGAAGGGACACCGTTCTCCAGGGGACTACAGTCAGTATCTACCACTGCATCTATACAACTGTTTACACGTTGTACACTGTGTTGTACATTGTGTTGTATGGGGAAGATGACGTCAGTCAGGGGGGGAAGGTCACTCTCAGGTCGTTTGACGTCATTAATGCCATGAACAGTATCAGTACCTTCAGTGTGCGTCCTTGACCTATAACAGGTACTTGTCTCCGTCCTCCCCTGGGAGTCAAACACACAGCGGGTATAAGCACCTGGTACACTATCCTGGATATTTCCCTGGTCACGCTCTGTTGTCTCTTGAGAACTCTGTTGGATATCCACGACACGGTCAGGTTGTTCCAGTTTGCTGGCAACAGTACCGCCCTCCACAACAGGCCCACCGCCGTGCAGACTATTGGGCGCACCGTCAGTAACAACGTCAGTAACAACGTCGGTAGCACCGTGATGACCAGAATCAGCAACAACGGCGTCAGTCGTCTGTGCACAGGTTTCCCCTGCGGCAGGAGGACCATCTCCAGCACTGCCCGACTCTCCCAAGACCTGCCGGAGTGCCGCGATGTAGTTAACAGCCAGACGCAACGTTGTGATCTTGGTGAGATTGGAGCCGTCGGTTGCCTGGACACATTGAGTCGGCAGCGCGGTCTGCAGTTCCTGGAACGCAGTGTTTATTTCCTGCATGCGACCTCGCTCTCGAGAGTTGGCAGTTTTCCGACGGTATTTACTGAGGGGAGGAGGTCGGTTCTTGGGCTTCGGTTGTTTCGGCGCCACCAACCTCTCCTCAGTTTGGATGCGAGTCACCAGCGTCTTTTGACGAAGATTGTATTTCTCTTTCTTCTGCCTTTTGGCAAGTGGCTCCGATTCCACGTCCTGGGTTTCTTTGGAGTCTGCTGTTCCGTCCTCCACGTCAGCACTCGCCATAGTGTCCCCTGATCCACCTGTTCTTCTGGAATCAGAAATAGTATAGAAAGTTTGTGTGTTTCTTTCTTTGTTGTTTAACGCCGCACTCAGCAATATTGCACCTATATGACGGCCGTCTGTAAATAATCGAGTCTGGACCAGACAAGCCAGTGATTGACACCATGAGCATCGATCCCCGCAATTGGGATACGATGACCTGCATCAGCCAAGTCAGGGGTCCCGACCACTCGATCCCGTTAGTCGCCTATTATGGCAAGCATAATCGCCTGTTCCGGCAAGCATGGGTTGCGGAAGACCTATTCTACCCCGGGTCTTCACGGGGAGGCAAGCATGGGTTGCGGAAGACCTATTCTACCCCGGGTCTTCACGGGGAGGCAAGCATGGGTTGCGGAAGACCTATTCTACCCCGGGTCTTCACGGGGAGGCAAACATGGGTTGCGGAAGACCTATTCTACCCCGGGTCTTCACGGGGGGAGACAAGCATGGGTTGCAGAAGACCTATTCTACCCCGGATCTTCACGGGGAGGCAAGCATGGGTTGCGGAAGACCTATTCTACCCCGGGTCTTCACGGGGAGGCAAGCATGGGTTGCGGAAGACCTATTCTACCCCGGGTCTTCAAGGGGAGGCAAGCATGGGTTGCGGAAGACCTATTCTACCCCGGGTCTTCAAGGGGAGGCAAGCATGGGTTGCGGAAGACCTATTCTACCCCGGGTCTTCACGGGGAGGCAAGCATGGGTTGCGGAAGACCTATTCTACCCCGTACAGGAAGTACAGCATCAGCTGCCTAGCATCAGGTACGAGGGAAAATGCACGAGCTGGACACGTGGTGTATAAACACAGCAAGGCTGACGACGATGGCGCAGGTGACAACTACAAATGATACATCCTGAGTGACCATGTAAGTTCTGTTGTGCGTTCATCAATTTATCTTTCCTGTCGTGTAGGGAATGGTAGTAGCTACGTTGCAAATCCACCCCTCCACATTCGGGAGACTATCAGCAATAAAACACACACACATACACACATACACACCCACACACATACACACATACACACCCACACACATACACACATACACACATACACACCCACACCCAATTGGAATTGGACGAAATCCTCCTTAATTATCTCTCTAATTTTTTCTTTATGATCAGAATATAGAAACTTTGGCACCCAACGAGCAGATATCTTATTCATCTGTAAATGTTCATGAATAATAGTTTCAATCTATCCATGTGTCTTCCTCAAGTTCAGCAATGGTAATACGTCTATCTGACAGTATAAGTTTTTCTATCTCCTTGAATGAAGTTTCAATGATGGACCAGACCCGGGGTAACCATCAAGCCCTAAACCTAGC